AGGCGACGGTTAGCGACGGATTAATCCGTCGCATAGCGTTTTTTTCCCAAAAGTTAGGGGCGGTGTTGTAGCTCTTAAGTAACCGCTTATTCTCATCCACCTTTGCACCATCGCTTTCTGGCAATAACTTACGAGAGAATGTTAGCAATGTCAGCGCTTATTAGCTGGACAGCTCCATATATTAAGCAGTGTTCAGCTGCTTCGTTTCTAATAAATAGTTTGTTAGTGAAAGAAGGATCTATCCGAAAAGGATCCTACTAGCCTAATGCTCATTATCAAACCAATTTTAATGAGCAATTTGCAGTGCAGATACCTGGTCCTCACTGTGACAGGCCCAGTTTGTAAAATATCTATCAAACCCATTTGCTGAAACACCCCGCTCTAAGAAAGCATTTTGAAATGATTGCGCTGTATCTGATACAAGTGGTAAGTTTCACTTGTATTTAACCTCGCATTGAAGATTTACTACAAACCAGAAATATAAATATTCTACTTGCAGATTTTCCTGTTCACCTCTGTTTCATCTGAAGGTAAGTTGTCATTTTTAAGTTACAATTTTTTTTAAAAAGAAGTTTGCTATAGCTGTATGCCGAAATGGAAAGCTGAACGAAAGAGAGATCGAACAAGGGGTCTTGGTGCCAGTGAATGTTGCACGGGAGAATCTGGTTAAGGGAAAACAGCCAAATGGATATACCACTAATTCGTATCTACCAAAAGGAAAATACATGATGAAAATGGTAGGCTAGAGGAATTTGAGGAAATATTTGGACTTTGAGTGAACAAATTAGGATTTTACATAATATTTCTGCATTATTCTAGGGTTGGGACTGCGGTCTAGAAGAAAAGGCTATTGCTGCGCTTAACAGCCTTACAGAGAAGAAGACTAATTGGTGTCCTGGAGAACATGAACTACCACCTGCAGCGAGTGATAATACTGTCTTTTTTGTCAAGTAAGTCAATCTATTTTAAGTTCATCGATATGATTGTGAATCGAAAATGTGTCAACTCCGGGACATTTGTCATCTTGGGAGAGGAGAAGTTAGATTTCTGTATTATGTATTTATGGGTTTAGTGCTGAAAATTCTAAAATGAAATGTTGAATATAATTTGGAAGATTTAGCAGTCCTTTAACCTAAGAATAATATTATTTGTTCGCTTTAAAACACTACAAAATAATCTAAGTGATTCTTTCCTTTCTTCCGACTGAACCAATATTGATTGCAGAGAAGTTGTTCTTTATTGATAGGCCTCAATTCAAAGTTGATGCAAAGATTTGATAAATAATAAACATTTCCGAATATGGTAGTCAGATGGAAATTGCTAAGTAGCATGCTGCTTGCGAAATCACCTTCATTCACTTCAGAGCCAGAGACGACGACTACTTCGATATATCCGAGCCGGTAAACAGTTTTATGAGACCAATGTTTGTAAACCCTATGAGCCGCGAAGCAATAGAAGCAGATGCAGTAACCTATCAAGGACAAAGAGTTATAGAAAATTATGTTAATGTAAGTAGAAATCTAATTTAAAACTACTTTTCTATAGTCGGGATTTTAGCTTGCCCGTGCGGATGCTACTAAGATAGGTTGCGCTTGGGTCAGATGTAGTGGTCGTCCACGTGGCGTCTATAGCGCATATTGCCTTACAAACAAAGCGTAAGTTATTGTCTTTCATAATTTAACTCATTAGCAAATGGAGTAGCCAAAAAAGAACGACAAGTAAAATTCAAATCCATCTGTGACTTCTCTAGATTTTTTATTGCATAGTAGAAAGTAAAGATAAGCGTATGTATCGGTTGTAAAGTGTTCTCTTAAATCAATGCACTCTTACGGTATCGTTATGATAAAGCCCTCCGAATCATTTTTGGAGCAGTTAGATTAATGTGAAATTTCCATTTCAAAAAATCTTTATCTTTACTTACATATTTTCTAAATTCCATGTAACACCACGATTTTATTTTCAGACCTCTCAAGAAAGGAGACATCATTTATCAGAGAGGAACTGGCGGCTGTGAAATGCATGACAACGAATGTCCCGTGTCTTCCGTTTGCAATGCTACAACTAGCCTTTGTGAACTTTCTGCATCTCATTGGCACAATTGAGATTTGATAAACTCATTGACTGCACTTTTCCATTGGTTATTTGAAATCCTTAGACTAGTATAGTCTTCAAACTGGCAGCGAAGCACATGAAAGCAGAGGGAAATTTTGATTTTCTGTTCCCCTGTGTTGGATTCAAGAAGTCTGGTTTGAAAACATTCAGAACAACAACAACTCTGAAAAATTTGGGTAATTATTCTTTGTGTATGGATACTAAACAACGGGGGATGAGAGTATGCATATCAACATAAATT